ATTGTTTCCCCCCTTAATAAAAACGAGGAGCCGCAATAGACCATCATCACTAAAACTGTTGGACCAGCTCCTCCACAGATGACACAAAATAATTATCAAATTCCTGAAGCGGTTTCTAACCCTACGGAGCAGAACGGAGCTGGACAGAAACGTACAACAGGAGTACCAGTGAGTAAGCACTCATCTCAACGGATTTTTTCAAGAGTGAATCACACTAAAGTTATATGGGACAAAAACAGTAAACCGAAGGGTATATATTTTGGGCACATTTGAACATCAGGAGTTTGTTGCCAAAACATAATGAGATTAAGACATTAGTCAAATTTGCACTTCTTAGCCTTAAGTGAGACATGGCTCAACAGTAAGATTCACTCTAATCTAATTGATATTCCAGGATTTATTCTTTATAGAAATGATAGGAAAACAGGCAAAGGAGGAGGAGTGGCAATTTATTTAAGAAACTCTTTTAAGTGCACTAAAGTCACCTTTGAACATGATGTAAATATTGAGCATATTTGTGTTGAAGTATCACTGTCATCAAGCATGCACTTTTTATTTTTGGTTTTATATAATCCCCCTTCTTGCAATGAAATGTTTTATAGTGAGCTAGATAAATTGTTGAAAATGGTTGCCCATAAGTCAGAAGTTATCATACTGGGTGATTTTAATATTGACTGGTTTAATTCTAGCAAAAGGAAAAAACTTAAGACAATAATGACAAAGTTTGATTTTACCCAGATAATGAAAGGTGCCACAAGGATCTCAAAGACTTCAAAGACCCAAATTGATTTAATATTCTCTAATAAAGAAGATCGAATATTGAAATCATATAATTTTCAACCGGTTTGTCAGACCACAATATGATTTTAAAAGCAAGAAAACTTTCTAAAAAATGCCTTCAAAATGTTAACAATGTTAAATCAAATATATTAACTATTTTAAGCGTAATTTCCCTGTTTTAGACAATGAATTAAATGGCATCAGTTGGAGCAATATTTTGGAAAATGAGGATGTCCACAACTGCTGCAAAGAAATAATAAGTAGTTTGGAAGAAGTAATTTCTAAGTTCCTCAAAAACCAAAAACATTTCAAAAAAAGATCTTTACCGTGGCTTAATGGTGACATCAGGAGATCTATGAAAGAGAGAGACATGGCTTTGAAGAAATCACTTAAAAGTAAATTAAATACTGATATCAACATATATAAAAGTTTAAGAAATCGTGTCATAAAAAATTTAAGAAATGCAACAATAGAATATTACATATCTACAATAACAGAAGCCAAAGGAAGTCCATCTATAATGTGGAAACAAATAAATAGCATTGTAAAGCCAAAGAGTACAACAACAATGTTTGAGCTTAAAATTGGAGACCAGCAGATAAGAGACATTAAACAAATAGCCCAGGAATTTAATAATTATTTTGTGTCATCTGTGGAGGAGCTGGTCCAACAGTTTGATTTTGGAAACCTTATAAGACCAATTCAACAACAGGTTACATCTGGCACAATATTCTCCTTAGAGCAGACTAGTGAATCAATTGTGCTTGATGCCATAAATACAATTAAACAAAGTAATTGCATGGATCTCTCCCACTAATACTGCTTTTGTAAAGCAAAACAAAAATGCACTCATAAAACCTCTAACAAATGTAATACATTTGTCCATTGAGAGTGGGGAATCCCCAGCACCCTGGAAACAGGCTAGAGTTATGCCTATCTTTAAGTCAGGATCCCAAGACCAGGCCTGTAACTATCGGCCTATAAGCATCCTGCCTGTATTTTCTAAGGTGTTAGAAAAAATAGTCTTCAATCAGTTAATGGCATACATACAGTATCATAAAATCTTACATCCTTTACAGTTTGGCTTCCGACCTCATTATTCTACAGATACAGCAAACTGTTATTTTGTTGAACAAATAAAGTTGGCAATAGACAGTGGGGAAATAGTAGGCACAATCTTTTTGGATCTCAAAAAGGCATTTGATACGTTAAATCATAAAATTCTAATTGCAAAATTATCCAAATTAAAATTTTCACGAAAAGCTTTACAGTGGTTTGAATCATACTTAGAAGGAAGAGAGCAGTGTGTCACAGTAAACAACGAAAAATCATCATTAAAAAAAATAAATACAGGAGTGCCACAGGGATCCATCCTTGGTCCTCTACTGTTTGCATTATACATTAATGACTTGCCAGAGTCTTGTCCAACAGCAGGTTTTCAGTTATATGCAGACGATGCAGTAATTTATGTTAATGGAAAGACTGTGCAAGCAGTTTGTAATGAACTGTCAGGACATCTACAAACTGTGTCAGTGTGGTTCCATAATGTAGGGTTGTCTCTGAATGTTAAAAAAAACTATGTCTGTCTGTTTCTCTTCTAGGACCAAGCCCATATTTCAAGAACTAAATTTACAGATAAATGGAACTAGAATCCAGCAGGTCTCAGAAATCAAGTATCTAGGATTAATACTTGACTCACAATTGAAATTTGACAGCCATGTAAAAAAAGTGTCCAGAGTAACAAAAGCAAACTTGCACACCTTAAAACTGATTAGAGATTCCCTACCGTTTCACAATGCTCACAGTTTCGTGCACTTCATGATCTTTTCCCATCTAAGTTGCTGCATTAGTCCTTGGTCACAGGCTACAAGCACTACTATCAAGCCTCTTCAGATGATATATAATAGAGCTATAAAATTCTTAGATAAAAAAACAATCAGGTCCCATCACTGTGTTAGTCTGAACAATTTAAAAATGCTAAATTTCGAGAACTTTGTCAAATTTGCTCAGTTAAAACTGGTTTACAAATGCTTGCACAATCAGGCTCCTAAGGTTTTGAGTGACTGTGTAGTTCCTCTCAGAGCTGTGGGCTCAGTCACAAGAGGAGCTCACAGTGGAAACTGTCAAGTCCCCAGATGCAAAACCTATTTCGGTCAATCAGCTTTCACTGTACAAGGCACCAAAACATGAAATACATTACCTGCAGAACTGAAGGGAGAGTCAAACTGGGTCCTTTTTTAAACATAAACTTAAAGACTTTTTATTGAGAGGTCAGCCATGTGAACATTAATAATCTAACTGACCTGATCTTATTTCTGTGATGTTTTAGTGTGTAATTTCTTGTGTACAGTCACTGTGTTTTGTGTAAAAGCCTAACTGGGGACAGGCATTGAGAATTAGCCTTAGCTAAAATGTTGTAGTGTGTGACATGATTCATGAAATATACTTGTCCCTATCAAATAAACAAAAACAAAATAATAATAATTAATTTCATAATTATCAATATTTCAAAATAATGTAATTATGTACTATCATTAATTGATTTCATAGGTATAAATAATCAATCATAAAGGTGTACATTTTCAGGAATAATCTATGTACTTTGCATATGGGATGTTTATATTGAATATATATATTAAGTAGTGCTTCCAACCGCTGCTTTTTGAACAGTAAATGTCTGAATGTACTTTTTTTGATGATATGATATAGATAATATTAAAGCAGTTACCAAGCTTTGTGTGCTACAATACATTACAATGGTGGTTCTTCTTTATGCTTTTTGAAAATATAACTTGTTTGTCCAAAAATGTTCATGTTAATTTTTCCTAATCAGAAACAATAAACTTGACCAAATGATTCTATAAACACCTCTATGATGTTCCTAGGCATCAACTATAAAGGGGGTTGCCATAGTAAAAGTAAACAAGTTTAAACTCCAGCACAAGAAGTTCAGTTAAAGCTGTTCAGTTCAACACAACTTTCAGGTTGTCATCATATCTGATGACACCTGGTCTTCTGCTCTTGGGCTGGTCAACTCATCCTCGCTTTGTGCTCGGCACCGGTTGATCCAGTTTAAGGTGGTACATCTTGCCCATATTTCTAAGGCTAAGCTGTCATCTATGTACCCTACAGTCAGCCCACTGTGCATCAGATGTAATCTTACAGAGGCCTCTCTTTACCATATGTTCTTCTCATGTCCTCTATTAAGCAACTACTGGAAGGCAGTTTTCAATACATTATCTTGCACATTTAACACCAAATTGGAACCAAATCCAGTTGCAGCCCTGTTTGGGGTTCTTGAGGGTGGAGCTGTTTCAAGTGCTACTAGAAAATATTCTATAGCCTTTGCTTTACTTTTGGCACGTTGTGCCTTAAGTACAACGTGCCTTAATCTTAGGCAGGTCCTGAATGTTGTGGAGTGATCATATTTTGGCAGTGACGGGTTGGGTGATGGGGAAGGGGTTATTTTGTTTGTTTTATTGTATTATATTTTTGTGCTTCACTACTTGACTTGTTCTATTGTAGTTGTCATGCTACTTTCTCTATTTGTGAAGCTTATATTTCCTTTACTTTAACAAACTTGTATGAGCAACTTGTTCAATTGACTTCTATAAGCCTACCTTGCAACATCTTATAACTGTGCTCTGCTTTTTGTTTATGTAAAACTCAATAAAAAATATCTTGAGTAAAAAAAAACAAAAAAAACTTCACATCGCATTCCCCCCTGATGTCATTTATGTTGAGTTGCAATAAATGCAAAACTCTCTGCAGGTTCTTGTCTTTGTCGTCCACTCTATTCAGCTGGCTTGTGAAACACACGGCGAGAAGGTGGGGGCTGGGTGGTGAGGGTTACGGGTGCGAGAAACGCAAAAGTAACGCAATAGTTAAGTAAGTAGTTACTTTTATTGTGAAGTAACTCAGTTAGTAACTCAGTTACTTTTTGGGAGAAGTAACTAGTAACTATAACTAATTACTTTTTCAAAGTAACGTGCCCAACACTGCCTTTATATGGTGCTGAATGATATCTTTCAGGTGGAGCCGAGCCGTCTCCTACAAAGTAACTTGATCCACTTAATGCTGTGATGCACAAGGATATAGGGACTTATAAACTACCCCCGCTGTCAGAGGCAGCTTAAAACTTATAAATATTTGTTAAACAGTCACAGACATGTGTTTTCTTTTAGTTGAGCACAACCTGCTCTCTGTTTCTATGCCAAAGGTGTAAGAGGGTGGACCTAACGCAATTTAAGAAGTTTCCTTTGGGAATAAGGGTTGCTGTCAGCATGGAGGCCACCGGCTCTGACAAGGCTATAATCCTGAAAAAGAAGAAACGGGAGGATGCTATCAAACACTGTGCATCACGTAAGTCAACAGTTTTAATTAAAAAAAATTAAAATGTTTTTATGTGATGTGACTATTGTGGTCACGCTTGTGTCTAGAGTTCAGTTTTACAATGATCAAATAGGTTTCTCCTCACACTCAACCTTGCAAAATATTAATACCCTTTAATCTATTTCATAAGCTTTAATTTATTTTATAGGGATTTTATTGGGAGATACATCGACGCAAACTATTCAGTTTGTCGCTCGGAGGGCTTAAAGTTCCATGATTTTTCGGAAGATTTTCTAGAAATAAAACAGCCTAGTCTATTATTTTGACACTGTTAAATTTAGTATAAGCATTGCACATCCTCCTGAGGACATCAACCTGAGGTAAAACAAAGTGGTGGCAGCATTATGCAATGGGAAATGGGTGCTTTGCTTCAGCAGTCAGGAAGCTAGTCAGAGAAGATGTTTGGACTATATACCTGGCAAAGCTGGTTAGAGGCTGCAAAATACTTGAGATCAGGGTAGAGGTTCAACTCCCTGTAGGACAGAAGGCTTCAGCAAAAGTTCAGCTTTAAATTTAACTAAGAATGTGTGGTAAGATTATTTAAGTAAATAGATCAGTAGGGTTGGTAGAGACATCTACCAAAAGACTGCAGAATGCAAAGACATGCCACACTTTTAAGAATTCGTTATCATCTAAGCAATTATGCACTCCTCTGTTCTGAATAATCACATTAAATCTTGATTATAAAGTTTAAAGTTTCAGTTGTATAGTATTGCCATTTCTAACCTAAATTATAAAACTTTGATTTATTCTTCCACCTCTAACTAGTAAATTATAGATAAGAATTTCTGATCCAAATAATGTTGTGACATTTCTCGCATCTCTTTGAAAATAACCGTCTGTGTCCTCTAACCTGCTTTTGTACATCAGGACTTGGTAAAAATTGTTTGTTTATATGATTGTGTGTCAGGAAAATTCCCTGAGGTCAGAGCTGAGTTACCTGAACTTAACACAGACAGACTGAAGATGGCCAGGATTTTGGTTGGCAAAGCCATTGAGGTGGGCTGCAATTTCTCTATGCTGTCTAATTAGGACCAAAACTCTGATTGCTCCCAGAGGGAAACAATGTCTTATGATTTTGCTGTGTCAGACGAAGAAGATATTCTCCATCGAAGGTCCATATCCTGTCATTAGGGCAGCTCTGAGGGCAAGGGGCTGGATTGAACGATGCACGGATGCTTCTAAGCAACAGGCCCAGAAGCGTCACAGCAGTGGAACCAGCGCCTTGAAATATAACGGTGAGCTTAAAGCATCTGCTAGGGCCAACATTTTATAGATGATTTCTTGAATGTTGATTCTTCCTCATAGACACCTTAGAGGATGCTGAGAAAGAACCAAATCCAGATCAACTGCACAATCTCATGGTAACTGCAACATCAGTTTCTTTTGTGAACCATCAAAGTAGCAAAGCTCTTCGTATTTAAAGCCCAGTGGCCCTTCCCATCCCCTTTTATACCTGTTCATTATTATTTTAGTCTCGCCTTGTGAAGAATGACATGGTTAATTTCTATTGGACCACAGTGAGAATCAACCCAAAAAGCTTGCAGATAAACCAAATCATCAATCATTTCGCTAATGCAGGCACTTTTACCACTAAAGTAAGTTTGCAATAGCTTCTCAGCTTTTATCAGAAAAAAGACATTTCTTACATGCACCCTTCTCATTCACCCCCTATCACCTTCCTGCACACTAACAGGTGGGCTTGTGTGTGAACTTAAGAAACCTTCACTGGTTTGACACAGCTGACCCAGCCACCTTCCTCCCTCGGTGTTACATCCTTACAGAGGAGGATGAAAGGCAGGCATTCATTGGTCAGATATTTTCTTCTTTTTTTTGCATTCTTCAACACATCAACAGTGTATTTTTGTCCTCCCTTGTTCCATTTAGGCCAGATTTGTTAGAAGTAGAACTTTCCCTTGTCCTCTTGATTTTTCCACCTTAGCTGTTGATGTCTGCTGCTCCTTCACTGTTAACCTAGACCTCTTGGAAAAATGTACCACATGTTCGTAACATAGAATATCAGAGAAATACAAAGGATATGTGAATTCTTTACCAACCCCCTCACCCTGGTGACTATCAGGCATCACAGGAACACAGTGACGACTCAGCTTCTTAGTTAACACACGAACTGGAAAATGTTGTGTTGAGTTATAGTTCTAGCGATTGTACAGTTTTCCCTCTTGCTGTTTGATTTATTCTATTATGCTTAATCCGTTGTTTTGAAAACACTTTAGAGATGTGAGCACATTGGATTTGGGGACAGCCAATATTTTCCTTCTCCTCATCTTAGAATAGACTTTCTTTACATTTTCCCCTGCCCACACACAGAGGAAAAGATTTACACAAATTCTGAATTTTCTACACTACCGTTCAGAAGTTGGGGGTCACATTGAAATGTCCTTATTTTTGAAGGAAAAGCACTGTCCTTTTCAAAGTAAATAACTTTCAGCTAGTCTTAACTTTAAAGAAATACACTCTATACATTGCTAATGTAGTAAATGACTATTCTAGCTGCCAATGTCTGGATTTTGGTGCAGTATCTACATAGGTGTATAGAGGCCCATTTCCAGCAACTATCACTCCAGTGTTCTTATGGTACAATGTGTTTGCTCATTGGCTCAGAAGGCTAACTGATTATTAGAAAACTCTTGTGCAATCATGTTCACACATCTGAAAACAAATTAGCTCGTTAGAGAAGCTACAAAACTGACTTTCCTTTGAGCAGATTAAGTTTCTGGAGCATCACATTTGTGGGGTCTAAATGGCCAGAAAAAGAGAACTTTAATCTGAAACTCGACAATGTATTCTTGTTCTTAGAAATGAAGGCTATTCCATGCGAGAAATTGCTAAGAAATTGAAGAAACAGACGCCTCACAGGTCCCCAACTGGCATCTTCATTAAATAGTATCTGCAAAACACCAGTGTCAACATCTACAGTGAAGAGGCGGCTGTGGGATTCTGGGCTTCAGGGAAGAGTGGCAAAGAAAAAGCAATATCTAGGACTGACCAATAACAGAAAAATATTAAGATGAACAAAAGAACACAGACATTGGACAGAGGAAGACTGAAAAAAAGTGTTGTGGACGGATTAATCCAAGTTTGAGGTGTTTGGATCACAAAGAAGAACGTTTGTGAGACGCAGAACAAATGAAAAGATGCTGGAAGAATGCCAGATGCCATCTGTTAAGCATGGTGGAGGTAATGTGATGGTCTGGGGTTGCTTTGATGCTGGTAAGGTGGGAGATTTGTACAGGGTAAAAGGGAATTCTGAATAAGGAAGGCTATCACTCCATTTTGCAACGCCATGCCATACCCGGTGGACAGCGCTCGATTGGAGCCAATTTCATCCTACAACAGGACAATGACCCTAAACACACCTCCAAATTGTGCAAGCACTATTTACAGCAGAAGCAGGAAGCTGGTATTCTATCAGTTATGGAGTGGCCAGCACAGTCACCAGATCTTAACCCCATTGAGCTGTTGTTGGGAGCAGCCTGACCATATGGTACGCAAGAAGTGCCCATCCAATCCAACTTGTGGGAGCTGCTTCTGGAAGCGTGGGGTGCAATTTCTCCAGATTACCTCAACAAATTAACAGCTAGAATGCCAAAGGTGCTGCAAATGGAGGATTCTTTGACGAAAGAAAAGTTTGATGTAAAAAAAAAATCTTATTTCAAATACAAATCATTATTTCTAACCTTGTCAATGTCACAAATGAAAACACAAAATTGTTTGGGTGACCCCAAACTTTTGAACGGTAGTGTACAATCTTATTACATCTGCATTGCTGTATTCTGCACCTGTTTTCCCGTCAGTCTAAACAAGGCAGATGTAGAGGCGAATGAAGAAAAACATAATTTTCCCACAGTGTAGCGACAGGTCTCTATGATCCTTTGGGTACAGTGTCTTTACCTGCTAATTCTCAGGAGCAAACCCATTTACAATGGAGAGTTTGATGGTTTCACACAACCCAGCAGACTGAAAGGAAAAGTATTCAACCCTTTAACTGAATCCTTTCATAAGATAAATGGAGGAGTTCATATTGTCTTGGGTTTAATATAGTCTAATATAGTTTAATATAGTTTTATAGTTTAATATTGGGACTTTGTTGCGTATTTGTACATCATGTTGTATCCCCTAAACAACATCAGAGTTTTGATTCAATCTTGTTTTTGAGACGTTAGTTCTTTTCATAGAGTCTAAGAATAAAACTTTTTACAGACCTCGAACTTTAAAAATGTACTGTTCACCCAACTTAATGAGTTTTCCCTATTGGGTCATGTACACCCTTTAATTTTATCTTGGCCCCCTTTTTATTATTTTTTTTTGCATTTTTTGTATTCTGCAGCTCGGTGCACTTATGCAATAACTCCATCCAGTGTCACTTGAGGCCCTCTCATCAACGGCATTGGAAAATTCCAGCACACAACATGTGGTTGGATGACCAGCTTAAAGCCTTCCTGGCTGAGCAGGGGACGGAAGCCCTCTGGGAGGCTGTTGCTGTCCCAGGAATGAAGAAAAACATTATCCACACATTACAGACAGTACAGGATCAGATAGGGTCACGCAAAAACACGTTTGAGCTGTATGGTGCTGATTTTATGTTAGGTATGATGCAAAGACTAACAAAAGCTGTAGCATTTCTGCTAAGATACATGCTGTTAGACCTCATTCTCCTGTAAATGACATACACCACTTAGTTTCTCTTGGTTTTATCCCAGACACAATGTATGATAATATCAGTTAGGCATAACATCATGACCTCACAGGAACAGAAGGGATGGTTAGACATCACAACACTAAAGTTTCTTCCAAAATGGGGCGTCAGTGGTAATGTCTATTAAAGTAGCAATAACTCTGACTTAGACATCTTTAATTGTCGTACATTATTAATACTCTTTATGTACTTTTGTTGTCTGTTTTGGTAGCTATACTAACTTTAATCACACATGATAGCAGTGTTGTGCCTGAACGCGTTCATTGAACGAAAGTTCATGAACTCGTTCATATTTTGGGCGAACGTGAACTGAACGTACTGTATTACTGCCTGATGAACGTTATTGTGAACTCGTTCATTCTGGTGTCTGTGAACGGCACGCTCTCTCAGTTCAACTCCGTTCAATAGGTTGCCAAATTTCTATAGAGTCCTCCAGGCGAAACCCTGGCTAAATCACACCGTAAACAGGCCTTAATATGTAGCGGGAAAAACACCCAATCTGGCAACACCAGCTACCAGTGTCGTAGCCTACAGCCGCGTGAGTCATCAAAACAAAATGCAGCGTGGAAGCCACAGCAGCATGGAGGCGACAAAGCAGCAGTATGATCACTTAGAACAGTTTTATGACCAGGTGGTCGGTGAGGATGATGGCAATAATCTTACATTTCTCTGCAAACTTTGCCCGCCGGCTTTCAGTAAAAAAATCCGCACTTCAGTAACCTTAAATTCCTACCTCAGCCTGGTCCCTCAGTTTGTGTTAGTAAAATGTTGTTGAGGGTTTTACTATTCATGTAACTTGTTTGTTAAACCTGCCTGGTATAATTTTCCAGCATTCCTTTTTAGTATGTACTGAAATGGAATTTCAAATTGAAAAAAAATATTAAAATTTAAAAAATATTTGCACCTTAAAGACTACTTTCCTGTTTTTCTTTTAATAATTCCTCATAAAAAAAGACTATTCAAGCAGCACATTTTTCCTGATGTTTTTGAGAATATACTGTAAGGGAGAAAGCTGCAGCTGCTACTAGTGTGAAGTGAATGGACAGCAACAAAGCGTTAAAGCAACAATGGGGAAATGCTGTCCCCTCAATGCTAATGTAAATCCTGGTTGGATAAGGATTCAAAACTGGATATGAAGATGAAATCTGACGCACAGTTTCAGTGTTACAACTGATCAAATAATTGCTGTCTGTGGTTCTACAGTAGGCTATGGTGTAATTGAGCAATATATGAAAAAAAAAAAAAAAAGAACTGAACTAGTTCATTTTTTTGGAACTGTGAACTTAGTTCAAAATTTTGAATTATGAACTATGAACTGAACTAGTTCATTTTAAAATGTGTGAACTGAACTTTGAACTAGTTCACGTAGAAAGAGAACTTTCCCAACACTGCATGATAGTATCACTGCTGCCACCTTCTGGTTTAGAGAAGAACTGCCTTTTCCAAAGGTGGCGAATGGGCTACTATGTGCCTAATGCTATGTTCACACCAGACGCAGCAAGAGCAACAAAATCGCGTCTGCTGCTTAATTTTTGCTGCTTGTACCAGGTAGTTCTGACGCGCAGCCGAAACAGCTTTGTTGCTCTCGCTGCGCGGTGCAAAAGTGGGTGTGACGCACGTTGGGCGGAGCTACTCTATCCTTTCTTTGCCTTGCAGCTATATTTGCTGTGATCAGTGGGAATAAAGTAGTTTTAATATGTTTTTAAGTGAGAAAATACACCTGAAAACTTAATCAGTGCAGTCAGTTCATTCAGATTATCATCCTGCCTTCTAATATTATTTCTGTCGGAGCTGCTCAGACCCCCACATACCGGCGGTGCGCCTACAGTAGGAATCCATTCAACAGCAGCCTCTGGCCGGATCGCCCCCTCGCAGTTTACCGCGGCGGCTGGTAGGAGGTTTTCATCTAAATAATCCAAACTGCAGGCACTGGGATAACAAAAGCGAACATATTCTGTCGGCAGGTTTCAGCATTTTAAGTTAATTTAGGCTTTAATAAACTGTTTCAGAGGAGTGCTCACAGCGCTCTGTCATCAGCGATGTGTCTCTCTCCCTGCCAGCTCCCAGATCAGCTCCTCTGATTGGTTGACGCGGTGCGTCGAGCAGCAAAAGTTAAATTTTTCCATCTCGAGCAGCAGCACGTTTGCGGCGCGTCACGCGTGTCAGATGCTTAAACGCTCCAGACGCGCTGCTTCAGCTGCTCAGACGCGCTGCGCCTGCTGCTCAAAACGCGCCGCGGGACCTTTTGCTGCGCCTTGACGCGCGTCAACCATTGACTTTGCATGTAAACTCGCTGCTTATGCTGCTTATGCTGCTACTGCTGCGTCCGGTGAGAACGTAGCATAACTCCACTACTTCTTAAACCTCAGCCAGCTCCTTTGTTTCCTATTTTTTCATCATTGCACAGATTGATTGATCCAGGTGTGTCTGCCCTCAGTCTGGCCAGACACTGCTGGATTAACTAGAGTACCAAGTGATTTCTATTTAATTTTTTACACTCTTTTTATATTGAATGTTGTATTTTTTATCTTTAATGGCATCTTGCTTTAACTCTGCCCTTTGCATTCTATATAAGCTACTGGTATCAGAATTTCCCTGAAGGAGTAATACCAAAGGATAAATAAATTTGAGTCTAAGTCTGAGCTGGCAGAAGTTCAGAAGGTAGTGGAGTACGGCATATACCCTATTAACCAAAAGGGAACAGCAAATGTCCTGGTACAGGTGGCCACAGAGTGCCAATGATTGGCTAGCAATGGCCATGCCACCACTAGATCCTCACCTGCGATTGGCCAATTCAATCAGATGAAAGCTGTTTTAACAGTATCACTTCCACCTCTTCTTGACGGCAATAAAGAGTTCGGTACTGCTGGTGTGAAGTCAGCTTTATTAAAATTCTTCTTATAATTTCTTTTCCACTGACACCAAAACCACCGTCGAACTAAAATACAACATAAACTTAAATGAGATGGTTTCATGAGTACAAAATGACATAAAAAATTATATAAATACATATAAACATACCTCGCTGGCTGACCCTTCCTTTTGAGGTAGAAATGAGAAATAAAGGACCTTTTAAACTAAAATTTCTCTGTAAAACTTCTTGCAAATGTCATGCCTTCATGCTGTGTGCATCTTTTTCTTCTAGTTTTTCAGCGAACATGCTAGATTCCACTTCCTAAAGAGGCCTTTCAAAATAAGACTCATAATAACAAAAAATTTGCATAATACAAAATAAAACATGTAAACCAAAAAATATGGCAGTAAAAAACAGTAACTTCAATTTTAAGGCACATTGTCATTATGGTCACTGATTGGTGTACATATATAAGAGCTGTATTTGCATGAAAAACCTACACATTCAAATTTCCACACTAAACATAAAAAATGTTGCTAATATGTTTCTCAGATCTTAGGCTGAACCCATGGTTAATAGAAATCAACAGTAGCCCAACAATGGCGCCCTCAACCTCTGTGACTGCCCAGCTCTGTGCTGCTGTGCAGGAGGACACATTACGAGTGGTTCTGGACTGGAGAGTTGATTGTTCTGCAAACACAGGAGACTTTGAACTCATATATAGGCAGGTATGGATCAGGTCAAGCTATATGCTTAATCAGCTATGTTTGTCGTGTTCAAAGTTCTTCCACATGCAACTGTTCATCTCCAGGCAGCAGTAGATGTCCCTCCTTATTTGGGAGCCAACCTGATTGTTGAGGGCTTTGCTGTATAACACTTGCCCTCTTCCTCTACTGAGGCCAGCTTCAAAATTGGGGGGTCCAGGCAAAGTGAAGGAGTCTACAGTGGAGAAACTTCCCCCTTTGCCAAAAGTGGTCCTAAATAGAGCAGAGAGCATGACCAAATGCAGCAAAGCGATTATATGTCCCACTCTTCCTTCTGAATCAAGTGTGCACAAACCAGTTCATAACATCAAAGTTAAACGCCTATGACAGTTTCTTCTACTGGTAGAGGCTCTCATGCTGGGCATTGGAAGAGATGTGCAGACGTATCTAATATTCAACCACTGAGAGCAGAGAAACTGATTCAGGTTTTTTGCCTCAGGAGGTGACTCTTCCCAAACAGCTCAGGAAAGCAGTCGACCTCATTATTGCCAAGAAAATTTAAAAATAAAGGCATTTTATGTAAAGAACAAACAAATTCTTCTTTGCAATACTTGAGAGTATTACTGCTGCCACCATCTTATTAGAGAGGGGGAAATGGTAGGGGTGGCCACGGTAGTGATGGGTCGGGCAACACCGATGCGTCGGCGCATGTGTCGGTCTCATAGAGCGAAACCTGTGTCGACGTGTGTATCGCTACGGAAAAGTCACGTGACCGAAACAGTTCCTGTATCGGTCACGTGACCGATGTTTCGAACTGATTGACAAGCCTTTATAAGGAAGCGCATCTGCCAAAACAATCTTGCGTGTTTTGCGAATATAAAATTAATAAAAAATTATGGAGCTTCCTCAAGCAAAAAGAAAGGCTTCTGCCGTGTGGGACCACTTTGATGTCATTTCGGAAAATAAGGTATTTGTTTTAATTTCCTTGTTTCATCCTGTTCCTCTCAGAGTTTCCACTTGATTTTCTGAGTAGAAATTCATTTCAAAGTGACCTTTAGTTTACTGTTCGTGTTATTTTCTACAGGGTAAATGTCGCAATTGCTCAACAGAGCTTGCATATTTAAATAACAGCACCTCCTCAATGCTGAGGCATTACAGGGCCAAGCATGAGAGTGAAATCTATGACACAACCATGATGAACTCAGGTATTTTACAACTTACTGACTTTGTTTTATTGATAATTCTGAATAATTTACACTTTCTCATTTTTAACCATCAAGCTTCCAGGAAGCAGATGCTTGATGAGGCTGTGCTTAATTTCATTGTAAAGGACTGCAAGCCCCTCGCTGTTGTGGAGAATGAAGGGTTCAGGGAGCTGGTTCAGCTCCTTGAGCCCTCATATGTTTTGCCAACCAGAAAGGTTTGTGTGGAAATTATCTAAAGTGGTAGTTTATTCATCAATTTTATTTTAAATATATTGATTTTCTTCTGGTTTGACTTGGTGTGGTTTTCAGACCATCAAACAACTGTTGGCCAAAAAGTACGAGGAGGAACGGGAACGGGTGAAAATGGAAGTACAGCAGGCTGCGGACAGAATGTGCCTCAATAGTTGGAAGCTCAAATGAGCCCCAGCCGGGAACATCTTCACAACAGCTGTCTGCCCCCACTTCAGGCATGATATTGAGCATCATTTCTTTGTTGTTTGTAAATCATGTACTAAAATACTTTTTTTTTTTTTTTTTTTTTTTTTTTTAAGATGACCTTTGGGAACATTTTGATCTCGAAGTGGGGAGGCAGACCAAAAGTGCCACAGCTGATGCCATTCTTGAGGTGCAGAGATACATGGCAGAGGGCAATATTGCGAGGTCCCAGGATCCTCTTGTATATTGGAAAAACCAAAAGGCCTGGCCTTAAAATTTTTGTGCACTCCAGCTTCATCTGTGCCGTGTGAGCGGGTGTTTTCCACAGCTGGAGAACTAATATCAAAAAAGCGCAACAGACTGAATTTCAAAACGTTGCAACAACTTATTTTTTTGAATAAAAAATTGTAAAAAAAAAATACCAGTGAACAAGCATCTTCATTTACTACATGTTTACTTAGAGATTATTACATTATGATGCAGGTTCTCATTATTCATTGACTGTGTCTAAAATATCAAATATGTTTTAATAATAATACAATGCATTATACAATGAATTGCATCATATTATTGTATATAATAGGTCATCAAATCAGTGTCAGTTAACTCTGTCAACTAGGTTGCCTGTAGGGATTTTTAATGTCCACCAGGTGTCAGTATTCAGTGACACAGTATCGACACAGTATCAATACAGTTTGGTAATGTGTCGAAACGTTTCATGACGCCTCATCAACCCATCACTAGGCCACGGGTGGCAAATGATTGGCTAAGGGTGGCCATGGCCCCCCCTGGCCCCCCATCTAGCTCCGCCCCTGCGGTGACCTGGAGAATAAATAACCAATGGCTATGTACATTTTTAATGGATATTTAAAAATAGCATCAACATCAGAGATGTGCAAAATGACAGCAGCTTGTTAATTTAACCAACTAAGGTTTATATCATTACATTGGCTTTTATTTGCTCATGCTCCCGGTGGTTGTTACCTTTATTCCAGTCTGTATTCTCATGAGGGTTCACCTTACAATAAAAATAAAAGAACAAAAATTAAAAAGAAACCGTTTTAAAAAGTTCTGTATTTATTCTTTTCCTGCTTTGTGTTTCAACTATTAGTAGTAAACAGGAAAAAGAACGTCGAGAATATCGGCTTCTCAAATTAAAATATGGCTCAATAAAATTAGGCTCGCTGCACGCCAGGTGTACGAGCGGTTGGTGCGAAGCGGAGAAAAGGCGGTTGACTTGGGCTCTGTTCGAAAACCTAGGACGCATCCTTAGAAGACCGGATTCGAAGGCCGATTACGTCATAGCGCGGCGCCGAGGTCTGGTCGGATTCCAAGAGTCCTCGTTATGCGGCCTTAAAATGCGTCCTTCTTTTTGCCCGATTTGAAGGACGGGTCTGATGTATCCTCGGTATTCTTGGATATCCCAGGATTCATTGCGAGACCAAGCAAGCTGTGATCAGAGTAAAGGTTACTTGGCGCCGAACAGTGGTGAAAATTGGAAGTTCAGTTTAATATAATACAAGTCATTTAATAGTTCCGTCTGAGATTAATGAAAAATAGTTGTTTTAATGGTTATTGAGTGAGATATGTGGCGGTAATGTTTGGTTTATCTAAAGGTTTTATCTGTTACTGTGTAAATGGGTTTGGCTGGAATTTAAGGACAGATTCTAATATATCTGCAGGGTGGGGACTATAAATCTGATAGGATTTTTATCTTTTTATTGCTGTTTTGCACAATATGCTTAATTTCGTATTTTTTGTTGTTGAATATTAGAGATTTTGCAGATATATTTTTTATAGAATAGAATAGAAAATCTCTTTATTGTCCCACAATGGGCAGATTTACAGCAGCAGAAAGATTATTGAAAATGGTCACACAAATGTGGACCTTAGAAAAATGTATAAGAATTACATAATAGGGAAGAGTTAAAATATAAACAATACAATACTGTAAAGTGTTTTAACAATATAAAACTGGAGAATAAATAACCAATATGCAGCTGTGGACATTTTTACAGTAATGGATATTTGAAAATAGCAGCAACATCAGAGATGTGCAGAATGACAGCAGCAGGTTATTTAACTGACTAAGGTTTTTTATCATTACATTTGATTTTATTTGTTCCTGCTCCCGGTGGTTGGAACCTTTATTCCACTCTGGATTCTTGTGAGTGTAGTCTTTGTTCACTTCACAATAACAAAGAAATAAACAGTTTTGAAAACTTCTGTATTCATTATCTTCCTGCTTTGTGTGTCAACGTTTACGGTTGCTAAGCAACAGAGCACAGCGGTCAAACCCGCCGAAGGGTAGACCTGGTCGAATTCACAGCCTAAACTCTTCCGGTCTCCTTATTTTCAAGGACTTCGAAGGATCCAGTCTAGGTAGTCCTTGGAGGACACGTCCTAGGTTTTCGAAGAGAGCCCTAAACTGGTTTGTGACTGGATCGGGATGACAACAAAGTCAGATGGGGGTGGTGAGGATGATATGGATTTTGATGAGTGGACATCGGTAGGAAGAGGAAGAGGTAGAGGGAAGGCGAAGGTTCTGAAAGAGGATAGAGTAATTGGTAGCCAGAACAATAAACGAAGTTTGGAAGAGTACAGCTCTGATGAAGAAAACAGAGCAGTCAGGAAGAAAGTAACAAACGAAGAATTTAAGGTAATTCTTAAATTCAGGAACGAAGATATAAATGTTAACCTGAGCCCGATTCAAGTTTCAAGGGAAATAAAAAAGAAACTAGGGGAAGTGGAATTTGTTAAAACATTACGAGATGGAAACATGTTGATAAAATGCAAATCTGAAGATCAAAAGAATAAATGCATGCAGATTGACAACATTTGCAAAAAAGTTGTTAGTGAGAAACTAATTGTTGGAGAAAATAGAGTATCACGTGGTGTTATCACTCGTATTCCGCTGGAGGAGGATTTAGAAAGACTCAAAAAGAATATACAGGGGGGAGAAGTTCGGAGATTGAAAAGATTGCAAAAGCATGTAAATGGAGAAAAAATAGAGAGAACGATTCTTTTGGAGTTTCAAGGAGAAGTCCTTCCTGATAAGATTCAAATTGGATTTATGAGTTTTTCTGTAAGACCATATGTCCCTCCCCCTTTGCGCTGTTTTAAATGCCAAAGGTATGGTCATATCGCAGCAGTATGCAAAGGGAAACAAAGATGTGCCAGATGTGGAGGAGATCATCGATGAATGTGGAGTTGATGTACAGATGAAATGCTGTAACTGTGGGGGTCAGCATAATGTAGCATATGGAGGTTGTGAGGCAAGGAAAAAGGCAGCAGAAATTCAACAGCTGAGAACAATTAAAAACATCACTTATGCAGAGGCAGCAAAAAGTGTTCAGAAGAGAACGGTTCAGAAAAGTCAACAAGTAATGTCTAGCACAAGTGCTGACCCTAGCCAAACTTCAAAATCTGGAATGGAGATCACAATGGATAAATTAATATTATTCATGGCATATGTAATCAACTGCACTGATCAAGTAAAACAGAAAACAGAAAAAATAAAAATTATAGTGAAAGGTGCAGAAAAAATTTTGGCCGTGAAGGATTTATCTTGGGAACTAATAAATAAAAGGCTTGAAATGGATGGAAAACAAGGTGGAGGAAAAATTCAATGATTATCTTACAATGGAATGCAAGAAGTCTAATAGCAAATGGTCAAGAATTGAAAGGATATATAAACTGTTTGGAAATTAAACCAGATATTATTTGTGTTCAGGAAACATGGCTTAGACCAGAACTAGATTTTGTGATTTCGGGATATGATAGCATTAGAAGGGATAGGGAGAAAGAAAGTGGAGGAGGTTGTATAATATTTGTTAAGCAAGGGATTCAGTACAGGTTTGTAGATAAAGGATCATCTTTAGAATGGGTATCTGTAGAAATTTGGATTAACAAAGAAAATATTAGGATAATAAACTTTTATAATCCCTGTAAAAAACTGAGTTTGGATGAAATAGAGGAAATGTTTAAAAATCTAGGAAAAAGTCTAATCTGTTGTGGAGATTTTAATGCTTTTAGCACTGTATGGGGTCATAAAAATGATGAAAACGGAGAAGTGGTAGAACAAATAATGAATAAGAAACAATTGGTCTGTATTAATAATGGAGAAGGGACAAGAATTGATATTAGAAATGGAAATGAATCAGCGCTAGATCTAACTCTAACGAATTTTGCTGGGATTAGTAATTGGAAAGTTTTAAAAGAATCAACATTAGGAAGTGATCATTATCCTATTGTTATTGAAATCGGTTTAGAAATAGAGAAAGTTGTTAATAGAAATATAGAAAAAATGAATTTTAAAAATGTTGATTGGGAAAAATATAAAATAATAAGTGATGAAAAAAATGCTAAAGGTTAATTTAAATTTGGATATAGATAGTGTAAAGTCTTCTATCTGCGAAGCTATTTTAGGAGCGGCCCGAGGAACGATTCAAAAGAAAAAAGGAAAGTATAAGAGAAAAATTGTACCATGGTGGACAAAGGAATGTGATTTGGCAATTAAATCTAGAAATAAAGCTTTTAGGCCGTTAACGCTCAATACCATTCACGTACCGCGTGGCGGCAGTAACAGTCATTAACAGTAGTCCTGGCAGTAACAGGAGATCGAAGAAGAAGCAGTTGCCTTCCTCTCTCACCGGGTGTGGAAATGGCGGCGTCCGTTTGCCGAGTCGGGAGCACCTTCGGGCGAGTCCTCGCTAAAACCCGGAGTGTGAGTATGGTTAAGAGTTGATTAAGTTTTAATTGAGGAAGATCTTCGCTTTTGATGAATAAATGTTTTGTTAGTATGAGGTATAAGGGTAGACCTGCGCAGCGTTCTTGCTAGCTGTGCTCATTTGCTAACCGGTTAGCACATTTTAGCTTGCAATGAAGGTCAATTACCAATATTGATCTGCTTTAGTTTTAACTTTCTATTAATGGGAGCTGAAATATTTATACAAATTAAGTACCAGTGTTCTTTGTCTGATATCCTCTAAAAAGCCTTTTTTTTGTAACATGTTCCATTTGTCCTACCCTGTCCTCAGACCTTTCTGGCTAGCAGCGTTAGCATAATGACTTGTGACAGGCAGAATATAGCTGTCTGCTCTGTATTGTTGTTTATGCTATGAACCTATTGAATTAAGCGTTTATTTTTACTTGACGATGAAATCAGTTCGTGTTTGCATTTGGGACAAACAGAGAAGATCCTACCTGTAATTCATTGTTACATTTTGTTTGTAAAAAGTAATGAAAGTGTGTCACCTTTTTAGATGACCGATCGGCTGGTCTCAAAACGCATAACTCGCGGTCTAGATTAAAAATTACTAACGGGTTTATCAGATTGAAAACTATGATACATATCTAATTGTAACTTTCCATATACCAGATGCATCCAGCATTTTTGAGGAGGCTCACTGACTGGTGGAGCTTAAACAATGATGTGCGGTCCATTGTTGTTCCTTTACCTGAATCATTTTGCGTGCAATTTGTTTTCTGACCATTATTCTCATGGAGGAGACTGTAGACCAGGGATGTCAAACTGGTACCAGAAAGGGCTGTGTGGCTGCAGGATTTCTTTCCAACCAAAAAATAGAACATCCGACTCCAGCCACCTCATCAAGTCATCATGTTCAGATTGGACTCACTTAATGATATGACTGGAGTCTGGTGTGCTATTCTTTGGTTGGAAAGAAAACCTGCGATCAAACGGGCCTTTCTGGAACCACTTTGACATCCCTGCTGCATACAAAGGGGTGTTACTTTATCTAGGGTGACCAGATTTGGGTTTCTGAAAAGGAGGACTTTTTTGGGGGGGGGGGGGTTCTGGGCCGATGACTGGACCGAACCAGGCATTCAAACCGAGCCGGGCTGGTCCCGATCCAGAGCCAGCCGGGGACGGAGTGACTGAACCCGATGGTATGCTTCCCCACAAAAATATGCAAAGGCTTCAAATGGAATAAAAATGAGTGTGCCTCATCAGGCTAAAGAAGTTGAACTATCTGACATAGATTTAGAGTCAGTGTGTCACATGACCTGGAAGCTATTGCAGAAATATCAAATTTTTTGATTATAAATCTTAAAAAAAAGAAATGCTTAAAATTGAATAAAAATGAGTGTGTCTCATCAGGCTAATTTAGTAAAACAATTTCACGTATTTGAGTCAGTAGGTCACATGACCTGGAAGGTATTGAAGAAAAGTCCCAACTTTGTCTTTAAAAATATCTTGAAAATTGAAAATAGCTTAAAATTGCATAAAAGCAAGTGTGCCTTACATATGTTATCTATTTGCATGATTTTATATTAGGTTGATCTTAGCCATTTATAAGATAAGGAATTTATTGATCAGAAATCAGAAATACTTTAATAATCCCAGAGGGAAATTACTTTTGTTACACGCTCTAGTTACAGTTTTACATGATATATACACACATCCAACTATACAATATAATAAAGATAAAAAATAAGAATAAAAAGAGATAAAATATATATACACATATAGCTCTTCTATATATATATCTGTACGTATATCCATGTATATGTAAAAACCTAAATCCAAATAGAGTGAAAAGTCCAATTAAAGTGAATAAATCCAAGTAAGGTGATACGTGGCGTGCAAAAGTAGTGCATAAATGTCAATTACAGAGGGGGGGGGGCTGAATCACCTGATTTGTTTCTCAAGAGTGCTTGGTTCAAAGATTTGTGGACGGTCCCTAACTGCACCACCTCGTGTGGGAGAGGGGAGCAGCTGAGAGACTCTGGCCGACATCGGAGTCCCTCAGTCGGATCAACCGTTTTCTAGATCCAGCTGACTCCGCGGATCTTGAATATCCAATATGCAACTTCACCGCGGTGCTGACAGCTCGGTTCTGCTGCACTTTAGTCAACCAAAATCCCGGACGATTTTGAAATCTCTCCGCCCTTTTTTTTTAATGTATGACAAGTAGGACATGTCCGGGAAAAAGAGGATGTCTTGTCACCCTAGCTTTAGTTTTTTAACTTGTACTTAAGTGCTTGTTTTTAGAGGTCAAACTATTTGTTGTATTGATTGTCTTCACCTTTGAAGATTTTTTCCATTACTAGATGTAAACTTCACATCAGTCTTAAAGCATAAACGTTCCATGTGACAGTGTTTAGGATTTGCTACTGCTGTGAAGGAAAGCTTGGGCGCCCAGGCTGCAAAGTAAGAAATAAGGGCTATTGATACCACTAGTCCAGTCAGTTGATTTTTGGTGGATTTATGACTTTCAACACTAACATTGTGTATGTTTAGGTAGTTTTAGGGTTTCTTTATCTTAAGAAAATCCAGCGTGTTTTTTTTTTTTTTTTCTTCATTAAAATAAACTTGAGCTTTGCACTTAACTGGAGAAAATAATATTCTGAAACCAGTAAAACCTAAAGAAAACTTGTTTTGGAGGAAGGAATGGAACAGCAGTAGAATTAACCCAATTGGTGATTGAAGCCCAAACTGTAGCTGTAGACTTAAATGATAGATAAACAAGGTACTTACATTTTTCTTTTTTCTCTTGCATCCTTTAGCCTATCCTGCTGTCTTTGAGGCGTGGACAGGCTTCAGTCAGCTATGCTCAAAGCCTTGCAGGAGTCCCTGAAACCCAACTGACTGCCCTTGACAATGGTTTGAGGGTTGCATCTGAAGATACTGGACATGCAACTTGCACGGTAAGAGCATGTCGATTTTCCTTTTTCTTCTTCCACTATACTCTGTCCTAACTTAAAAGTACACCATAGACTTGCTGAGCACTGAAAAATCTTACCTTTGACAGGTTGGACTCTGGATCAGTGCTGGCAGTCGTTATGAGAGCGAGAAGAACAATGGAGCAGGCTTTTTCCTGGAGCATGTGGCTTTTAAGGTAATGACCCAGTGTTTAAAATGCTCTTAAAATAACTTCTAGCCAGGTGTGGTGAAATATATTTTAGTTGCATTTTGATGGACGGCATGTATTATTATTATTCATTAAAATAACATTTGACAGCACTGAAGCTGCTGTTTTTTCCCCATGAGGGTACAACCTGTCATTTAGTTGTGAATCAAAGGGGGTTACAGGATTAGGGAATTCCTTTATCAATACTATTATTTAAATTGGAGATAAACAGACCAGAACTTTATAATCAGTAAAAAAATGAAAACAATAATTTTCGCTGCAATCACAGAGTACGGGACTGGCCGTTATTGCCCAACTATAGTAACACCTCACTCCTGACATCTTCTGGCAGTGACGCACAGTGCGGTAAGCCTAGGGACATTCTGCCCGCTTTACAAGCAAAATCAGAGGAAACTACTAAACACATCTGCAATCAACAACAATTATTTTAGATTTCCAGAGGACCTTACCATTGAAATTCGTAGGAGCTATAGTTAAACTGACAATGCCCACGTACATAGCAGTTGGATGTTGTAATACATCGTGTATAAGTGGGAAAAAAAAAAAATTATTTAATCTTTCGGATTCATGATCCACGGGTTCATCGTTGGATTGCCAACTTGAAGAGGGAGGATTTGCCATCAAATTTCTGGTCAGAGGAAAAAAAAAACATGTAATATGTAACCAACATTTCGAAGAAGAATGTTTTCAAGATGACTTGGATAATAGCGCGTTGTGACAAGCACCAGATACAACATTTGTACTTGCTCAACAGCCGATGCCGCACTGTGACCTCACAAACCAGTAGGGGGCAGTAGTGTTCTTAGACAAACATGGATGTCTGCGGTAAAGCACATTTAAATTAAATTAGTCTTAATTAAAAACATTTATTGAACAGTATGTGATCATTTTATATTTAAAGTTCTTTCAGAAGTTTGAATTCTGAATATGACTGGATTTTTCCTTTACAACAGTGTTCCATTGCTGACCTGTGGACCATGCTGGCTGGCCAAATCCACTTTCTGTTTATTATAGCAAGGCCTGCCTTAAACATATATCAACCTGACATTTTGCATTGCCTGCTCTATTCGCTCCGATTGGACAAAAAGTGTCTAATTGGCATTTTATAGTTTTAACACTTTAAAGGTTCACTCAAAATTTGCTTGAGAATTAGAAGAAGGCATGCCTACTTTCAGCCTGAATGAACCACAGCCAGGTTTGGGTAGGTTGTATAAAATAATCTCATTTGGAATAATTTCCAAAGCTTCTGTGCTTGTTCTGGCTTTGTATTAAAATCCTTTACTGCTTTTTCTTTTTTCTTTAGCTAAGTGAAATTTCTCACTAAATATCGTTTTTCGCATTATTTCTAAGGTTTAGTTTATTCAATGATTAGAAAAAAATATCAGATTTGATATTAATCTGCAAATTGTACAGCTGTGATTACCAGCTGATATCTGGATAAATCCCTTGTTATTTCAGAAGTATCGTACTCCATATATTGGCTTAGAGCGGCATGTTGTTCGTTTCTAGTTGTCCTGGGCCCAGGGTAGGGGGACCCAAAATAATACATTTTGTAAAAGTATTATTTTTTAAAGATTTTAGCAAGGAAATTGGAGCTTTATTCTTAAGTTTCATAAAAGTGTTTCCATTATTACTCTTTCGATTATCCACTGCAGTATTGGGAAGTACCCCCACCAGCCATTCCTTCTAACTGGTTATGCTGCTGACACAGTTTCTCTGAAGTTTGTCAAGCTGCTTCACATAAGGCTGGAGGTGGAGACGGAAAATACAGAACCTTCCCCTGTGTAATCGGTCAGGCTGCACCTTATTACTTTAACATGAAGGATGCAGCGACTTCCACCTGAAGAAGCTGCCTCAAGCTGCAGGAACAGCTTTAGATCGAACAGAACTTTAGATCGCCCTCACCTGCAAAAGCCTGATAAGGAGTTTATAGCTTGCAAGCACTCTGATGGAGAAAACAACATAGCGGTTTTTGTAAAGGTTTTGTTCCCTGTCTTTGCAAGATGAAGTTATACTTGACACCACAACAATGGATATTGTTTAGAGATAGAAATGTTTTGAATTTGACTGACGTGACTACATGGCGCATCCACTGCCATGGAAGCCAATAAATTGACAATCTGTATAGCCATAACTGCTTAAAAAGGATTTTCACCAGAACATTTTGTTGTCCAATTTGACAATTTGGCACAAGTGTAAAAAAAAACAAAAAAAAAAACATCTATAATTGGGATCGGGATCAAATGCGACTGGAGCAGGTATGTAAAGCCAATTGTGCTGCATATTTCATAAAATAAAAACTGGAAAATTCTCTTTTTGTAAATATAAACATTTAAATGTTACCTGAGATGCTTGCATTAAATAAATATATTTAATTACTTATTAATTCTGTCCCAGGCCCAGCCAAGGCTGTCAGCTGGCCTGAGTACACCTGTCACTAGGATGCATCCGCCAAGAAACTCTCTGATATTTTGCATTTCATTATTAAATTCATGAAGAAATATGGAGCAGCCTCAAAGCAAAATAAAGGTTTTAACAGTGTGGGATCATTTTGATTCTTATATTCGAATTGACTTTTAGTTTACTGTACTTATGTTGTAATTCTTTTTAAAATGCTATTCTGCAAGCATCCTTACTCACATGTTCACCTCAAGTTTCATATTATGTCATATGTTCACATTATTTATTGGCTGCATCTTAAAATGTAAAAAATATTTTTATATAAATGAAAATATTAAATAACATTGCTTAAAATATGTGTAAATGCCAAATGGGCTGCATGTAGGGATTTTAGAGGCCAGCAGGTGTCAGTATTGACTTGCACAGTATCAATACATTTTGGCAATGTGTTGGAATGCTTCATTGCGCCTCAACAACCCATCGGTACTGCTACAATACAACAAATGATGCTCATTTTTGGTGCACTGATTTCTCAATCAAGCTATCTTTCCCTTCAGGGAACAAAGAAGCACCCCCAAACTGCCCTGGAACAGCAGGTGGAGGCTATGGGTGCTCACCTGAGTGCCTACACCTCCAGGGAGCATACTGCTTATTACATGAAGACCCTTTCCAAAGACTTGCCTAAAGGTGAGCAAACAAAGTGGCTGTATCAATGATATCCTTAAAGTAATCAGATTTTAAAGCGATTCAGAATTTCAAGTCATGAGTACTCTGCTCATATTAAATTGCAATGAGTTTGACTCTGTCGCATAACTCCATTTTCCTTTGTTTCTCACTGCAAACTGAACTCCAGCTGTGGAGTTGTTGTCGGATGTGGTGCAGAGCTGCTCGCTGAACGAGGCAGAAATCGAGCAGCAGAGGAACGTGGTGCTGCGTGAGCTGGAGGAGGTGGAAGGCAACCTGCAGGAAGTCTGTCTGGACCTGCTGCATGCCACAGCCTACCAGGGCACACCGCTTGGACAGAGTGTGTTGGGGCCCTCCAGCAGTGCCAGGTAGGAGGGAATGGAGACTAACATTACTCTGTCTGTGTCAAATATTACTTTCACTACCAGAACAGCCAGGCTGAATCTGCTCCATTTCTAATGATACAGTTTGTGCTTCCAAAAGTAGCTCCTTAGTGGGGCTGCTGCAGCATTATTTACTGTAATGTAAAGCTAACATGGCTGCTAAAACTAATGCTGGTCCTTGTACTCATTGTTGGCAGGAATCTGACCCGTCAGGACTTGGTGGATTACATCAACAGCCATTATAAAGCTCCCCGCATGGTGCTGGCTGCTGCAGGAGGTGAGTCGTCAGCTTCCTTAAGAGGCAGGGGTGATTAGGGCTGGAATAAAATCTGCTCTGTCTGCAGGTGTGAATCATGAGGAGTTGGTGGGTTTGGCCAAGTCTCATTTTAGTGGAGTTTCTTTCGAGTATGAGGGAGATGCTGTCCCTGTTTTGTCCCCCTGCCGGTTCACTGGTAGCGAGGTGAGACATGGGTTTTTCTTTTTTTCTTCTTTGACTCAAACATTACTTAGTCCTTTTCAGTTTAAATATGATTATTAGATGATTGACTAGCTTCTGCTACAGAGATATGATTTGCATTTTTTTTTCTGTAGTTAAACGCCAATTATTTACCCTATTTGTTTATTTAGGTTTAACGTAATGTTCGACCAGTATGTTTCATCTGGTTGGAATAATATGTTGGAATGGGTCTGACCTGGTTCACTAAAGTGGCAGCTAAAGCTGCAGCAGCCAAAGTTTTCAAATTGATGGATGTGTTTCAAAAAACAAAAACAAAAAAAAAACACTGCCAGCAGATGGCGGCAATGGACAACAAAGAGTTTTCATTCTCAAAAATGACTGATTAAACACTATCAGGATTAACACTTCATTTGAAAAGAAAATGAATTTGATTTTATTAAAACATTTGACTGGGTATCATTAAGAACGTCAGGGGGTGTGAATACTTTAGCTCGGCACTATACTTGACCAGATGGCATTTCTCAACATATTTTCTTTCATTTGAAATGATGTTCAGTTTTTTTGCCACGTTGTCTACTTATGATTTACAGTTTCAGTAAAATCCCTGACTTCCTTTTCAGATCCGTATGCGAGATGATGCTCTGCCTCTGGCACACATTGCCATTGCTGTGGAGGGTGCTAGTGTTTCCAGTCCAGACATCGTGCCCCTCATGGTGGCCAATGCAATCATTGGCAGCTATGACCTTACATACGGTGGTGGAAAGGTGAGTTAAAGTAGGCTGTTTTCCCTTTAGTTTATTCAGCTTTTGGGTAGACTGAAGAGAGTAGAAACTGTGATGTTTATTGTCTTGGTGGTAAAACAAACAAAAAAATCCCCTTTAAGCTTTGCCCACTTGGGACTCTCCATGTCTTGAGTGGCCATTATGGAGGGGTAAAGCATAAATCTCCCTATAAACCTGAGTTAGGGGTCTTCCCCTTGCCTTCTGACCTGTCGGGAGAAACATGGTTAATTAATTCGATTAATTAATGTTTTTAAAAGTCCACGATTTTTAGACTTTTGCATTTTTTTACTTGCGTGTTTGCTTTCACCACCTATTTCTGCCTGATATCATACTGCACTGTTTACTCGTGTCATGGCCTCTGCCCCGTCTGAAGAGTTGGTACTGAGAAAAGGAGCTCATGGTTCGTCAATTATTTGGAGGTGGTTCGGCTTTACCAAGGCCGATGTTGGGGAGACTACAGTAGTGTGGAAGGTTTGTCAAAATACTATCAAAAGCAAGACTAGCAGCACAGCTAAGTTGTTTTGGGATCTCTGACAGAGGTACCCCACAGAATAGGAGCAGCGCTAGTAGCTTTGGGATTGTAGCGTCGGTAGCACGGGCAAACACAAACAAAATCAAGACAAGAAAAAACAACAAACCCTGGCCGCCTTAATTTTTTAAAGCGGTGCCATACAACAAGTGTAGTGTGTGGTGGAAGCAGATGGCCGACACTGTAGCTGTTCATATAAGGAATGACATGGTGCCCTTTCACACCGTAGAAAAGCATGGCTTTAGCTGCACACGCTAAGTGTGTGATCCAAAATATGACCCACCAAGTCGCAGATACTTTGCAGAGGTTGTGCTACCAAAACTGTAGAACGAAACACTATAAACACTCTGTGATAAGTTAGACTGCTTTGTTTTTTGTAACTACTGCAGAGCTTTGGTCCAGTCGATCTCTTCAGCCGTACATGAGTTTAATTGTTTATTATATCGACGTGAACTGGGCTCTCAGCAGCTGCTGTTTACAAACCACCTACTTCCCAGGAGATAAATACAAGTTATTGACTGTGTCATGGATTTAGGGTGTTTGACCCACATGCAGACACAGACGGGGAAACAAGGAGCAGTTTAAGATGTTTATTAGACTACACATAAATAAGTGTTCAGGGTTCTGCAGGAGGAAAGAGGAAACTGAATAAGACTAGAAAAAGCTAAAGAAACCTGCCCTGTTGCTGCTCCACGGATAACCTATCCGGGGAGGGTGAGTGGAGGAAAGGGTTCTGTAACTCACAGCTTTCCGATGGCAGGAGGTGTCTGAGTGACAGGTGGGACTTAGGCGGGGGCCCAAGCAGCACCGCAGTGGAGGCAGGTCTGAGGAGCAGCTGAAGGAACCAGAGTGAATCCAGGAAAGGGGTCTGTTGTAGCACTGAGGCGGCTCGAGGGGAATGACAGAGCTGATTCAGAGACCAGTCCTCAGAGCACGTAGACAGGCAGGTGAACAGTCCAGAGATCAACGAACTGAGGGAGACGGGTTAGAATCAGGAATCCAAAGCATCAGGTACAGAGATCTGTCTTCAGGACAGAGGCCTAGGCGTACCACAGCGGTTTAACACTCTGGTGTCCTTCAGCTGACTGAACGCTCCGCTTAAGCTCAGCTAAGCAGCCTCAACGAGCCGCAGATGTAGGGCCACGCCCACCTGTAACCAACAACTACCTGGGGAAGAGAATAAATGGAGAACAGAAAACAGAACCCTGACAGACTGTTTAATAAATTATATACTTAGAAATATAGCATATAGGTTTACATTTTTTACTGATTAAAAAATCTGTACAATTATTGCTGGATGAACATTTGTGTTACTTGAACAAGATTAGTTAACTTTTTTTTTTACACAATACGTTTATTGTTGGCTAAATATTTACGTTGGGCAATATATTTTTGAATAAAGTAAACCTATTTTAAAATACATGCATGTATTTTTTAATACTTCAATTAAAATCGTAATCGTCTAAGATGACTTAAAAAAATTAGATTTTATTTTTTAAGCCATATCTAGCCCTACGGTGAAAAGAACATGTCAACCTGGGAGTTTTCCTGTTCCAATCACCAGATTCCCTGGTACCTCTTAATGAAGATATTTAACGATAGATGTTCTCTTCCCGCCATCTTTAGCACCTGAGCAGCCGTCTGGCTCGCCTGGCAGTGGAGGACAAACTGTGCCACAGCTTCCAGGCCTTCCACTCTGCCTACAGCGACACTGGCCTGCTTGGCATCTACTTCGTGAGTGACAAGCACAACATTGATGACATGATGCACTGGACCCAGAACGCCTGGTGAGAGTTGATAGTCCCACTTTGAATAAAACTACCCTATTGGTTTTAGGTTTGTTCTTAATGGAATTCCTTCACGTTTGTGTCATTGCAGGATGAACCTTTGCACCACAGTCACAGAGAGTGATGTTACTAGAGCCCAAAACGCTCTGAAGGCCACCTTGATTGGACAGCTCAACGGTACATTGTCCCTCTATAACAGTGGTGTTTATGGTCTAGACTCCAATGTTTCTCACTCCTATGTTATGTTTTGTCTTTTGAAACCTATACTTGTATTGCATCCTTATAACTCTGAAATCCCACATCCTCCGCAACTGCCCCACTCCACTCCAGACTGCTTGCGCAAAGCAAGGCCTACAGCCGCCGCTGTTCCTCCCATCTTGCTCTGCTCCGACTTCCTCAGAGCTCTAGGAGAGCAAACCAGCTCTTCTCATCCTTTTCCTGTTTTGTGCGATTGTAATTCTGGATCTAGACCTGGCTGGAGTGGAGCAAAAAATAGCTGTCCTCCATATTTTGGCAGTGCAGAGGAGTAGCGGTGGATGTGAAACAGTTCTCATGGATTAACATGATAGACAAGTACTCTGCACGACGTACGTTGGTGGAGTGGAGACTGGGGATGTGGAATCTGGGCGTGAGCTAACATCTACTTAATCTTGTAGGAACAACGCCAATTTGTGATGACATCGGCAGACACATTCTGAACTACGGACGGCGTATTCCTCTGGCAGAGTGGAACGCCAGGATTGATGTAAGTCAATAGGATCAAACGGCTTGGAGCTTGCTTCCACAGCACGCTGCTGTGCCTTATTTCAAATCAGCTTTTCCTTACTCCTCTCTTCTTTCAGGCTGTAACTCCTAGGATGGTGCGTGACATCTGCTCCAAATACATCTATGATAAGTGTCCTGCAGTAGCAGCTGTCGGTGAGTTCTTACTCTGTACCGTCAGAGCGGTACCACTGTGGGCTCTCTAATGTCTCCTTCTTGTTTCCACCAGGTCCTATTGAGCAGCTGCCCGACTACAACAGAATGCGAAGTGCAATGTACTGGCTCAGATTTTAGGCAAAGAAACTGTGTTGTTCAGTTTGTCCTCTTCCCCTTGGCCTAGCTATTCTTCTATCCCTGCAAATGTTAACACAATCCACCCCTGTCTTCTCTCCCTTTTTATTTTTTTTTATCCCACCCCCCTCTGACTAGTCACCCATGAGGGATGCCGCAAGTCTGTCCATAAAATATACTCTGTATATTAATTGTATACTCATCATCTGAAACCTTGTTGTAGAGAAAATTGCAATGATTACAGAGTTGGTTTCATGATAATTACCTAAAATAATTCAGCAAAAAAAAAAAATCAATGTCAGATGGAGCAACAAGAGTATATTTATACAGACCGTATACATTGTTTTATGTCCATTATTGTACATACCAGAAGCTGTCATTCAGACGGAAATAAAAACGGTGAAACTTTTCTGAGTCGTTTTATGTCCAAAGTGTGGTTAAGGGGCCATTTACAGCCCTTAGAGGGATTGTTTTTTTTTTCTTTTTTTTTTTTTCAGTCTTCAACACAATTTAATGGAATAGATTATGTTTGGCACTCATGATTTTATAGATTCACTATTTGGTGGATAATCTGGCAAAAAAATGGATGTAGATGTTTTATTCTTCCACAAACATAAGTGATGGTAAAATGTGTAGTTTCATGTTTTGGCATAGATTTTAAGGCTCAGTCTGTACCCAGAACTGCCTTAATAATTGGTCAACCAGACTTTTTTTTTTTTTTTTTTTTCATTAACCAAACTATAAAGACATTTGTTTCAGGTTTATATTGCCTGTTTTAAGTTTGTTCAACAGGTGAAAGTAGATTTTGTTTTTATAAAAAAAAAAAAAAAAAACTCGCCTCCACTGCCAGGAGAGCCTAAAGACACAGATAAAGGCGTTGTAAAGGTAATTTAAGGTTTTCATGTCTGCAGTTGGAAGGAGATTTCTATAATTTATCAAATTAAAGATTATTTATTGCATAAAGAATGAAAGTTTTCAGTTTGACAAAAGCTAAGGGTTTGGGTGCATCATATCTGCTGTGAAGAGAGGTGGACAGGATGCAGCTAGATGGACATTTGGAGATGGAAGGTTGGTGATTTGCAGATCAATGGAAACTAAAGATGGAGACTGATGTGGAGGATATGCAGGTCAAATACAAGTCTCTTAATCTTGCTATCAAAGCCTTATTTCAATTTGAAGCTGCAGGAGGACATTACGGTCACCCTGTAAATGTAGATTGTTATGTAACACTAGTGGGTTGAGGTTATAAAGGCCACAGGTGGAGGCTGAAGGTGTTTTTTGGATGCTAGTTGTGGTTGATGGGTAGTCTAGACAACTGTCAACACGTTGCTGAACTCTACAAGACAAAGAAAAGCCACTGAAAAACTTTAGTGAGACAAATTTGGACAAAAAAAAAAAAACAATCCATTTGTGTTGCATAATGGACCTCATATAAGGAGTCTGTAAGAAGGTGGAGGAGGTGATGGGTTTTTATCCTGGATAGTGAAGGTCTCAGTGACGAGCTGGCAGGACCAGGGTGCTGCTATGCTATTGGTGAAGCAGGTTAGTGGAGAGATGGTGGTTTGGATCAGAGCTGAAGAACTTTTCTGCAGCCAGGAAGCAGAAGCAGGATCACTGACAGATCATGGCATAATTTTCACATCCTGCTGAGAGAAAAACATTTTCCTACTAACCAGTGAACATTGAGCTGTGTTAAGCCTTCAAGGAAGTTTAGTCTCAAAGCCTGTAGAGAGCGCTGATTCAGATGTACAGCACACATCCTCTCCTGACTGAGGTTGATTTAGACTCTGCTTGTGTCCAAGAGGTGATTTCTACACACTGGCCCCTTCCACTCTAACTCATAGCCATCTTGACCACCTTCAGACCTACTCTAATATTCTGCCTCTTACCCACCTTCTCCATCCTTTCCTCCAGCGGTCAACTCAGCTCCAGGATGATGTCATGTCTTGGTTGTACACAGACTGATGCCCAACTAGAACTGCTCAGGGTGTTTGAGGCTCCCAGACTTCTAACAAAGTGGGATGTTTCCAGATGTCCTCCCAGGTGACCTTTTGTTCACATCAGGGGGCACCATTTTGCTGCATTGCCTTGATTCTGCTCCAGCTTTTTCATTCTCCAAACCCACCTAAGGTCATGTTCATGCAAAGCTGCATCGAAGCCCTCTGTTAGATCCCTGATAAGGTGCCTCAATATGTCTTGGCACGAATGCATCAATGCAGTTGTTGGTCAGATATTCCATATCTACCCTGACTCTATCCTGTGCATGTGTCTTGTCTTGTCCATTTATGGATAAAATGTGTGAATATTGAGACTTTTTTTTTAGCTACTGACCATGCAGAAAAAAAAAATTAATAGTTTAACTTTGTTTACAAATCCAGAGGACACATAAGGTGGTCTTTTATCAGCATTAAGAAAAATATGATTTTTTTTTTCAGCTTGTAAACATTTGAAAAACAGACTTCTATTTTTGATTTAACCTCACATTTCCAGTTTTAGATGATAATGAAGCATCAATGCCTATTTGCAGAAAGAATTCAGCTTCTAAACTGGCCTCCCTGCAATCCTGGTCATTGTGTAATGAATAAAAATGAAGCAATAGTGGCTTTAAATGGTTCATTGTCTAGAATCTTAAATAAGTTGAAATACTTTTAGATCACTAGGATATTTTTTTTAATTTTACTTTTGGATTGGAGAGTTCTGTGAAGGTGTGTACACAATCTAGATATGCATAAAAAGGTTTATTTACCTCAGTTGAAGCGGCTTTAATCCAAATAAGACACAGCATGCTCTCCTTCCTCCTTTGCTCTGTTGGGCTGCTATGCTAAAGCACACAAAAAAAAGAAAAAACATGATTTATTCTGTTTAATACACGAATTTGTCATATATAGTATATGAGTCTGCAGGTTGCCTGAGGTTGTTGGGACAATTATTTATGACTTTAACAGAAAACTAAACAATGTGCATCAGATTGTCTTTGATCTTTTAAGTCTGTGTATTTTATTCAGTTATCTGGAGGGACTGATGTCTTATCATTTGCAAGCAATATGTGTATGATGTGGCAGGGTGTGACTGCAGATCCATAAAGTTTTTTTTTTTAACAGTTATTTTTAATAGTTTTGTCCAGGATGTACCCCGCCTCTCGCCCATTGACAGCTGGAGATAGGCACCAGCACCTCTTGCAACCCCAGCAGGGATAAGCGTGACAGAAAATTAATGTATTTCCCCAGATCTGTATACATGCAAATAGATGAAACAGAGAATTATCTTTTTTTTTTTACTATTAAATTAACATACATCAGATTATTTCATTAGAACAGAAAACTAATGTAATTGTTTCAAAAACAATGAGACATATTTTACCTTTCATGTGGTGATGGAGTTGTCTTAGGTCAGTGTGCCTTTTAGATCAATTACAGTCATGCTGCTGGTAAAACCCACTACATTTATTTACCACACTGACATTTGTCTTATTGTTAACGGATAATCTCTTCTTTAGTCAGATTAGCCCTTGGTCCCCCAGGGCCCAAATATAGTTGCTGCTCTGTATCTGTAATCATCCCATCATTAGTTAGATGAATAAAAGTCCTTTGATGGGTCGCTGTTAAATATATAAATTTATATATCTGCTGCAGCTTATTGGTGCTGAACCCCTGACGTGGTTTTTGTGCTTATACTCGAAACTAAAGCAGATATCCAACTAATTAAAGCCAGCCTTTGTGATTAGCATCATGTTATTTTTAGAAAGAAAAAGACGGGCCAAAGGAAGTGTAATGAAATGAGGGGAGGGCATCGGGGTGTAGGGATGCAAGAGATAAACAGAGAGGGGATGGACACAGTCTCTCAGAATCTGACCAGAGAGGCTGAGGAGGTACAAGTTTAGAAGATCCGTCTGTGAAGACCAAACTGAAGGGAGGACACCACAGACCTAAAGAGAGGCCATTGGCATAGGAGCAACAAGTGCCTTTTCATTAATTCTTAATTTTTCTCTGTTGAGTGAGTATTATTTATCATTTCCTTTTGCAAACTTTATGGATGTAAGAAAATGTTGCATAATTACACAAAAGTGAGAGATGCCTGTAATTAGTCACAGATTAACAGATACAGGCTTCTTCAGAATATTTTCCAGAATTGAGTGATTTTGTGGTAAATTAATCTTTATTTTTTTATCCAGTATGTTTAAACAATTAGTTTTTTTTCTTTTAATGAATGGTATTATTAGCAAGTATGGATATTATTTATGGAATCTTAACATGTTGAATAGCAGTTTTGATAGTCAATACCTATATTATTTTTTAACAAATACAGTACTTTTTTCTTTCTTTCACATATATAATTGAAAGATAACAATTTGAAGGCTTGGAGAGTAAAACATTTGGGAATGACTAAGATTCAAGGATAAAGTTGTATTTTTATTTCCCGACCACAGTTTTGAAAACTTATGGTGCATTAAAAATGTCTGTACCTAGTTTACAGCTATAAAAGATACATCTATGAGATTCAATTAAAACACTGGAAGAAATCGAAATCTAGATGAGTCATTTTTTCTTGAAATAAGTGCATTTGTCTCTTGGATTGAGGAGGTAAAAGAGACATTTTGCCAATGGAACAAAACAATTTACACTTAAAATAAGTAAACAGAATTCCATTGTCTTATTTCAAGTGAATATTATTTCATTATCTTATTTTAAGTGTAAAAATACTCATTCCATTGGCAGACTATCTCACTTACCTATTCAAATTAGGGTAAGTACACCTAATTTAAGAAATTTTTTCTTATTTCTACATTGTTTTTCCAGTGAAGGAAGTGAAAACAAAAACAAGAAATTAGAAAGTTTGTGCATCTTGCAGTCAACTGGACAAAAACAACCGAAGGAACATTTAGTTGCTATTTAGCATATTTAAGATTTAAAGGAAGAAAATATTGATGAGCAAGATTTTACCCCAAAATACACAAAAGGTCAAATTTTGAAATAGAAATAATGTTATAAAAATACACAACAGAGAAAAGACACTTCCATGGGAAAAAAAAGAGGGAAGATTTTGAAAATATAATCTTGATCATTTTTCTCATTGCAGGGAGTGGTGACCATGTGGAGTGTGCGTGTGTGTTTCTGCCTGGTTCTTTTGCTGCCTTGGTGTGTTCAGACTCAGATGAGACGTCCGGACCTCACCCAGCAGGACGAGGACCCACAGAGAGATGTCCTAGCCATCAACATCCTGAACCGCGACAGTTTGTTGAACTCACTGCTCCGCTCAGAGCAGCGCCTGGTGCTGAGGCAGGCGAGAGCCCCACGCCCAGCCTCCCGGGCTCCTAAGAGAGTCCAGCATGGCAACCGCTTCGCCCTTTCTTTGGATGTCCCCACCAGCATCCTCAGCGTCCTCATAGATCTCGCAAAGAACCAGGACATG